TCCTCGCCGGGCCTGCGGTGACAGTGACCTCCGCCTCCTTCCCCGACCCTGCCTCCATCGACGGCGCCTTCGTCCAGCAAGGTAACCCTCGGATCCCACGCCGCCGTCCTCTCACCCGGCCGCCTCTGAGCCCCAGCTCGTCGTCTTGTAGGTTGACCCCCACGCGGCGAGGGTTTCCCCGCACTCTCGCCGGGCCTCGGTGACAGTGCTCTCCGCCTCCCTCCTCGACCCCGCCTCCATCGACGGCGACTCCCTCCAGCACGGTAACCCCCCGGATCCCACGCCGCCGCAGTCTCACTCGGCTGGATCTGAGCCCCACTGCCTCGTCTTGTAGGTTTACCCCCAGGCCGCACCCCTCATCACCGCCAGGACCTGGTCAACGTCTGCTCCTTCCAGGTGTTTCCGAGCCGTCGTCCTCCTTGCAGGGCCCCGTCTGCATCGACTGGCTCCAGCAAGGTACCCCTGGATCTGGCACTCACTTCTGGAGCTGGCTACTGTCAATTTTGAGGTCATGCAACTGGTCTTTTATAGAGCTGGCTTTACTGATCGGATAGGATTTGTGGCAAGATCAGTTTGGGGCTCTTGCACTTGGGGGTGCTAGGGTTTAGCCCATCATTTCCAAATTCGCTATTTGCTTTTTGATCATAGGCTAGGAATTACTTACTGTGCTTTTGTTTACACTGAAATGCTTGACCTTGGTATTGGTACCCAAGGTATTAATTCAGATTAGGATGTTGATTCCGCTTACTTTTAGCATATAGCATATAATATGGATAGCCCTACAAGATACCCTCACATGATGTTGACATGTATGTATGAGGCTAGCTCTTGATCAAGAGCTAGTTTTTCTCTATCTCTCTTATTAAAATATGAAGAAAATGTTTAGATCTAGCTCATGAGTCAATTGTTGGAGCTGCCCTTATTACATTCACATAAACATACCGGTAGATTCGTTCTCTAAATTAATTGAAAGGTACCGGACACCCATATAAAGATACATTATTCAGGTCGAGTATTTAATCTTGAGAAAAGTGTTCTCTCATGTAACTGTAAACCGAATCATTCCTTTGCTTTGTTAGAGGGAGAGGAAGCTTCGTTTTTTATGACATTTTGGATCTACACACTAATTAGCATATTGCTCAACGCCTTTGATTCCATCTATATCGGTCGTAATTGGATATGTCTTTTTCGTTGGATTTGTCTCGATCATCCTCTAGGAGCACATAATTGATTTAGAGCCAAGACAATTATTCAAAAGCATTTAAAAGAAGTTTGATATATTCTGCAAGTTCAAGATCATGATCCACAAAAAATATTTTGCCATCAGCTTATTGTAAGATTGGTAGACCTCATCTACTAAATGCGGAACCACTCCCACACACAAACTGGTAATATTCTCTTTTGCTCCAGCAATTCAAATTGCCAATAGATTAGCAATTAGGTTGTATAAAATTGAAAAAAATGGACCACCATGCCTAAGACATGTTGTGTGTGGGAAAGAAGTCTCCAACATCACCATGCATTTATCTTGACACCCACACACCCTTTACAAATATTAATAATGGAGGAACTAGAATTGCCAACATATCAACAATTTAGTTGAATAAAATTGGGATGGCGGGGTGGTCCTAGCTCTGACCCGCCAAAGGTTCCAGGTAGTTATGGGTGACTACAATGAAAGAAGCACGCCCTGCACCTGCTAATCAAGACAGCAAGGCAGAGAATTTTACACCAGTGCTTACCTCCCCACGATGGCGATAACTACTACTAACACCAACAAGTCTACACGGTCACCATGCATGCTGTTAGATCTTAATTGGCCTTGCTCTAATTTTATTCGACTAAAGTCAATAAATCCAAAGACCAAGATTAAATGTTATGTATGATCAAGTACACAATGAAAGAGAACAACTACTTCAGCTACTTCAATACAAGTAGATCCGCTTCCGAGTGGCCGTTCGCGGGACTGAATTGTGTGCCTCGGTCTGCATCAACGGTGGTTCACAACATCTCAGCAAGCTCACTATGCCACCTAGTGGGCTACAACTCCAATGATTTCTTTCTTATTTATATGATCTATATGACGTCAACGGGTAGATCATACATGTACATACTTCACAAACTTTTTGATAATTTTCGGATTTAATTATGCCCGAATTTTCCTAAACATCTAACGATCCAAAAACCCTATAATAGGTACATTTTGGTTACTGGTTTTGATGTTGCTTCGAAGCCAAATGTATTTGATTATATGAATTACAAATGGTGGCGTGCTAATATGGTCTTGTGGTTGACAACTATGAACATCTTTTATATTGCATAAGGAAAGGCCAAACAGTTTACTCCTAAACAAGAGCAAGTTTTCAAGGTTGTCGAAAACCTGTTTCGAGATGTCATAATAAATGTTTTAGGTGAAAACATTGTGGACGTCTACATGTTGTCTTTTGCCAAAGAAATGTGGGAAGTGATTGAGACAAAATTTGGCGTTTCCTAATGCTAGGAGTGAGTGCTATATGACTACAAGATGACCGATGACCGTTCTATAGTAGAACAGGCACATGAGATAAGGAAATGGCAAAAGAACAACATTCCCCGTGTGTGTTGCCTGACAAGTTTCTGGCTGGTTGTATCATCGCGAAGTTACCACAATCATGGAGGGAATTTTCCACTACTCCAAACACACAAGCGACAAGAGTTGCTGACCTTAATGGTTCTCTTGATGTTGAAGAGAAGGCTAGGACAAAGACACTCACAGGAGAAGAGTTGAGTCTTTGAATGGTCTGAAATAAGCACCTAAGCAATGGCATGGGAAGTTTGACAAAATTTTGACATATGCTAGTTTTTGTTGTGAATGAGGTTGGCAGATGTGTGTACTATTTCTATGGTAGGGGTGAAGGTGTGGTCTTATTTTCGTATGTCGGTGATGTACTGATCTTTGGAATCAGCCTTAATTTGATTAAAGAGGTGAAGGACTTCTTGTTCAACAATTTTGTGCTCTCTCCTTGCTCCCAGCGTATAGCACACTCCTGTTCCTGGCAATTCAATCCACGACGATGGAGAACATCTACTTTAGTAGTACATATACGACTACTTTCTTATGGTTGTTCGCAGGACTGTATTGCGTACCTCGTCTTGCATCGACTGTGGTCTACGATATCAGTAAGCTCCAATTGTTTTATTTCTTTTTATATGATCAATATAACGTCAACGGATAGATCACACGTGCACATGCTTGTCAAAAATATTTTACTAAGTTTTTGGATTAAATTATACTCAAATTTGCCTAAATATCTACACATGCTACACCGAGGAACTTCAACAACCCTAGGGCACTTTTCAAGTTGTGAATTAAGTGTTCGGGGTGTTCATATGTTAGGCGAGTCAAGACTCTAAGGGTTAACATGAATCAATAGATTTTTATGGTACACTACATGTCACAATAGATGGCAACAACTCCATAAAAGAAGCAATGAATGAAACAGACATGATATAATCAACGTGGACAATGCTCTTGCTGATATCTTTGTAGGCCACAAAGATCATGGGAACTTCATAGAGATTGAACTTCTGAAAATTGTAGAGACCGACCTTCTGAAAACTACTATCACTAGATATGTTGTTAAATAAAAATTGTTTCTTATACTTATAATACTAAAAAGCAAAAAAAAAAGTCAGGCTTCATCTTGAAAAACAAGCTACATGTATGTCATTCGCCCAATTTAGGTTACCTCACTAGAAAACCTAATTATTCCACAGTTTAGATGTTCCTAGGATTAGTCACAAACGAAATTAGAATGCTAGATGCTAACAAAATGTTGGCAATCTTTTACTCAAAACTCAAGAAAGCAATCTCAAGTATGCAAGCAAAACCTTAGATCCCCAAGTTTACGGAGTAGAGGAATAGCAAAAAATACAAGAATAGAAAAGGAATAGGTGTGTATAACAAGGGAACCTAAAACACTGCAATTTTGGAAGATTTGGTGTTTGCGCCAAAGGAATATGACCACCACGGGAATTTAAGGATTAGTGATAAACATAATTGCTTGGACTAAACAAGAACTACATAAAGAATTTCTTTTCTTTCACAAAGCAGCATATATTAGTTAATAAATCAAAATATCCCGGTCGGCCACTTATGCTAGTGCTTTGTTGAAACCATGGACTCTAGTTTTTGAGTGTTAATCAATTTGTGCTTGGCGGTTGCTTCCATGAAAGCATGCGCCAATAACATTAGTAATCATGAGTCTCTCAAACTTCGTGAAGAAATTGAAACCAAGAGGTGGCGGTGGATTCTCTCATTCCTTCAAAACGTACAAGCGCAAAAACCTTCGTTCTAGAAAGGAATTCACAAATCCTCCACTCCAAACGCTACTTTAGTGTTTGAAACTACATGAATCTGATTCCTTTAGAATTCCTTCGAAGATCCTGTAATCCAAACAGAGCCTTACAAAATCTAGTTTTGGCTGAATATTTTTATAACCGGAAGAATATAGAGTCAATGAGTTGCCGCATAAGGATTTAGACTAACATTGGTCCTGTTCGCTTATGCGGAAATTTAGCTTATGCTGATGCTGAAATGTTGTGAAAGAAAAACACTGTTCTATGGCTAAAAAGTAGCTCAAGTGAACATTGTCATAATTTGCAGAAGAAGACTAAAGAAACGCTTTGTAAGCTCACAAAAAGCTATATGCTCACACGGTAGAATGAAACGCTAAGAGGATTCCATTGTAGTCTTCCAAGGAAGGAAATTACGAAAAGGAACAGGTGACAAAAATTCTTCTTGAACAAGTCTCCAAACCAGACGATCTAGAAAATAGTAGATATTTTTTCTAATAATTCCAGCAAGCACATTTATTTCACCTCACACTAGTACAGAATGAAACAACATGATGTAAATGACTCTCCCACAATGTCAATTAAGAATGGTGGAAATAAAGATGAACTCATACTTGATGAACCATCCACATTATTAGTTGTGGTCAGTTTGATTTTCTGCATGATTAAGCTTGAGAACTTGACTCATCAGTATCGCTGCCGTCTTCAAGGATAGGGTAATCCGTGTAGCCAACAACAGGATCTTGCGTGTAGAATGTAGAGCGGTCATACTTGTTCAGTGGCGCATTCAACTCGAACCTCTTAGGCAGGTCCGGGTTAGCCAAGAAGAGTCTTCCATATGCGACAAGGTCAGCATAGCCTTCTGCCACTACCTTGTTGCCTTCCTCCCGATCGTATCCGCCAGCAGCGATAAACGTGCCGTTAAACGCCTTTCGGAACGGCAAGCAAGAGCCTGTGAGGGATCTGCCTGCGGCCGTCGACGATCGCCATTCGAGGTTCCACCATGTGGCAGTAGAGAAACCCTCGTGCTTGTTGAGCTGCTGGATCATGTAGTGGCCAAGCGCCACAGGATCGGAGTCCACGCAATCCTGGAAGTCAACAAACGGCGATAGCCTGATGCCCACGCGGTGCGCGCCCACCTCGCGGACAATGGCGTCGATGACCTCCACGGCGAAGCGGCACCGATTCTCCAGGCTGCCGCCGTACTCGTCGGTGCGGTCATTAGAACTGTCCTTCATGAATTGCTCGAGGAGATATCCATGCGCACCGTGGATCTCAACACCATCGAAGCCGGCTTCAATTGCATTCCGTGCAGCCCGCCTGAAATCATCGACGATGCCGGGGATCTCCTCGGTTCGCAACCGGCGCGGCTTCGAATACACCATTCCGGACTCGGCGTCCGGAGAAATCTGCTTGTCCGTGCTCGAGATAGGCGCCTGCCCGTCGGGCTGAAAATCTGCGAATTGGGTTGAAGGAAAATCAGGAAAACCAGCTCCTGATCAAACAATAGAGTATAATCAGAGCTGACAAAGATACGCTCGTACTAGATGGGAACATACCATTGGTCGAGACCCTGCCGACATGCCAAATCTGGCAGAAGAATATGCCACCCTTCCGGTGGACGGCGTCGACGATGGGCTTCCACGCCTCGACCTGCTCCTGCGTCCAGATGCCAGGTGTCTCCGGGTACCCCTGCGCGGTGGGCGACACCCCCGTGGCCTCCGCGATGAGCAGGCCACCCTTGGTGGCGCGCTGCGCGTAGTACACGGCGGCGTGCGGCTGCGGCACGTTGCCGTAGGAGCGGCACCTCGTCAGCGGCGCGAGGACCACCCGGTGGGAGAGCTGGAACTGGCCCATCTTGTACGGCGTCATCAGCGGGATCACCTCCTTCGAAGCTTGCTGCACCATCTTGCCTGCCTGGTCGCTCTCGCTCGCCGGCGTGCTGCAGCTGCACTGCAGATGAGATGCAACACTGCAGTCACTTGCTAGCTCTCTGCTCTAGCTTGCTGACTGCTTCGCTTGCTCTGTTTCTCGCTTTGCTTCTGTTCTCCTTCGCTTGCTTTGTTTCTGGCTGTGTGCTTTTGCCAGAGCCCAGGGGTGTCTCTGTTTATATACGTGTTGGTGTGCCCGCCAGCCGTTTGTTTATGACTGTGTTGCGTCACCCTTTCCGTCATCCACTTGTTCGGACCTGCGGCAGCAGCAGCGTGCAGCCACGGCCATGCGCCCATGATTTCTCCTGTTCTCACGCAGGTTCATTGTAACCGGTCGTGTTTTGGCTCCAACCACAGGTGAAGTTCAGACAGCTTTGACCTGTGGAGTTGTGGTGCGAAAAGTGCACCTCACCTACAATAAGCGATGACGCTACTACCACGTGTGACATTTTACAGGTAGGATCTTCTTCGCTGATCATTCCTGTATAATTTTTTGTGTTTGTCCAACCACTGATATTTTACTACATTCACATAAATGTATTCGTAGTTCATGTGTTGAAGTATGATCGGAATTCCAACTTAGGTTCGGGTTATGTTAATTAACGAATTTGTTTCCGTATTGGATTACAGTGTAACTGTTCTATAAATATATATTGTAGGCCACAGGGAAAGAGATAAGACGACTCGTTATATTCCCTGCGTTTTGTAAAATCTCCTCATATAATGAAAATCGACGATTGATGCTCGTGAGTTTTTCCCTCGAGGGTTTTTCACGTAAAAATTTGTGTCGCAGGTTCTATCTTTATTTGCTAACAGCATCGGAAGCACTTTGTATATGTTAGGTTTAGTCCCACATCAGTAATTAATGGTGGGGGAGCACAACATATAAGGCGGGCACAGTCCTCACCTATCAGGCCAGTCTTTTGGGTTGAGTTAGGCCTAAGGCCTGGGTATGTTGTGAGCTCTAGTGGACTTGGGTCCAAGGGGTGCCGGCTCGTGGGTTTATAGCGAGTTGGGCCGGATTCTGCTGCGCACTCCAAAATCGGTAATTGATGGTAGGGGAGCACAACATATAAGGTTGGAGCAGTACTCACCCATGAGGCTAGTCTTTTGGGTTGAAGTTAGGCCTGAGGCCTGGGTATGTTGTGAGCCCCAGTGGACCTGGGCCCGAGGGGCGCCGACTCATGGGTTATAGCGAGCTGGGCTAGATTCCGATGTGCACTCTAACAGTATAAATTAGTTAGAAGTTAGCAGACACCAATATAAAGATACATTAGAGCATCCCCAGGTGTTTCATATACTTCACTTGCTAACTATGAGTTTACCAAAGTTGACAAAATAAGTAGCAACCTTTGCCCCCATCCACTTGAGCTAAACAGCAGCGGCTGTAGCTGTTGGAAATAATAGCAATTTAGTGACACGTAAATTAATTTCGACAATGAGAAAAAGAACAACAGCATGTATCATAGATGTGTGATTTAACACTAGCACTATGACCCGAGACAAATTCGAACTCTCTAGTGCTAGTAGCAGTAGAAACATAAGAACGAACAACAGAGAAAGAATAGACATTCTTACAGTGAGGTTGTCGGCGCTAGCAGTAGCGCAAAAGAAGACAAAGCAGACCGTCGATGAAGATTGGCGAACACTGGCATAGAGGGAAGAAGACGTCCAGCGAACAGTCACGACGGTGCTTCCCAAAAACCTGATACGCCCCCTACCCCGTGCAAGGACACGAGGAGACGTAGGCTTCAAAACCTGCTCTCTAGGCGCCGATGTCATGTCAGTGGCGGGATGGGAAAGATGGAGGCAGCGCAGTACAGTGGCAAAGGGAAGAGATGAATTCTCTATTTTGAGGACGACGTCTCGTCCCAATATATATACACGCGTCGCAGCTAAGGTAACTAATTAACCGCACAATCACAGCACTAATGGTGATTGTTCTGCCGTTAGTCGACTAGAACAATTAGAGAAATCGCCATTAATATGTGAATAATTGCTTGCCAAAACAGACCAGCGCAATTTTCTTCTTGCTTGCAAAAATATAGAGTAGCAAAAGGAAGCTACACACCTGCAAGATCTTAAGCTCTTCCGAGCACCGCCCTTATTTTTTCTCCATCTCTAAATGTTTTCTATCCTGAGTTCCTATATGATCTCTAAATGTTTTCTATCCTAAGTTCCTATATGATTTTTGCATTGGGAACAATAGACTATTTCTAAAACAACCGAGCCTTTCATGCTTTTTTTTCTTTTCTTAGAGCATCTCCAAGAGTTCCCTAAATATTCCTCCTAAAAACTCTATGTTTTCCAACTCCTAAAAAGTATTGGGAGAAAAAAAGAGGATCATCTCCAATAGTTCCTAATATTTCACTTTAAAAAATTAAATTTTGATCCCATTTGAGTTTTTTTTTCAGTCCTTTTTTTCGCGCGGAATTCTTCGTGCTCGCGCATAGGTACGCCGCCGCCACCTCCTTTCCTTCGTGTTGCCCTAGCCCAGCAGTCGACAACCAGGCAAGCAGGCAACAGCGGCCGGCCACCACGCAAGCAAACAGAGCATGCATACAGTACCATGCAAGCAAGCTGGCAGGTAGCAACCAGGCAAGCAGGCAACCAGCAGCCTGCACGCAAGCAAGCAGGCACTCGTCGTCGCCTCGGTGGCACTTCTGCTTCGTCCGGCTGCGACAGCTCCATCGTCATCAACTCCACGCCGGGAAACAAGACCGAGAAGGATCAACCCGCTCATCCCAAGGGCTCCAGGGTGACGCTCGCGGCCGACCAAGTTCCTCCTGTGGCGCCGCCCGACACCGCCGAGGTGGCGTACTCGCTATTCGCCTCCAACTGGCCCGCGCCGGCGCCGGGTTCATCCAAGCCCCAGTGCCCGGTTCTCACCGCGCTGCTGCGCTCCTTCTGGCCGCAGTTCCTTCTCCGGCTTCGTCCGCGTAAAGTTACGCGGAAGGGGGAGGAATTTCCCAAGTCCTAAAAGATTAGGAGTAAATATTAGGAGTTGTTGGAGAGGGTTTTTTCCCATCTTTCTAAAAAACAAGGATTAGGAGGATGTTTAGGGAACTCTTGGAGATGCTCTTACCCCTCCTCACATGGAACCCTATATTTTCTCCTACTTATCTATCCATCTTCTTCTTCATGGGCACGCACGCGGCATGCCATGGCCGGCTGTAGCCAGCCCCATCGAAAGACAGGTCATCATCCTCACCATTCATCATGCCAGTCCAAAACTTGAATTCTCCATGATTTATATTACAGACGACAGAATGATGTGTTGTTCATCCAATAAAAAATAATCACTAACCCTAGCCTGGCACAGCCAGCCATGGTGAGAAGGGTTGTCCCTACGGTTGGGTATGTCCAGGGGCATGCTGAGAGCAGCAGACATGACAACGGCAGATGTCCGAGGCCAGTGGCAGCCCGACAAAGGCTAGGCGGTGTCCTGGTGAGTCCACAGTGGCCCAGCAAGGAAAGGATTAGGAGAAGCACGTACCTTGGGAGTTGGGTGGTGGTGGTAGGAGCCCGGACAACGGTGGTAGGAGTTGGGAACACCATGACCATGACTTGCACTAAAAAAACAGAACAAGGCACGAGGGGGCGGGAGTCAGGGGAAAACTTGGAACTAGGGTAGATACGGAGTTTCTATCAAGCACGAAAAGTTACAAGTTGGACAAAAATTTAGCAACTTTTTTATTTTTAAGGAGATGCTTTATGAAGTTATTAGAGGGCATTTTATATCCTTTTCTAAAAAACTCTAATAGAGAGTTCATTCGGTATTTAGAGATGCTCTTATCTATGTAGAGTATTTAATCTTGAGAAAAGTATTCACTGGATGGAGACCGGCGCCGGCTCAGAGTTTGGGGTTTATTAAGAGCAACTCCAACGGATCGTGTAAAACTAATAGCTAAATTTCTTATTTTAGCCATTGTGTAAAATAGAAAAGTGGTAAAAAAATTGGACTCGACAACAGCCTAGCTATTTTGCCTCTAGTATATTTGAAACATGCCACGTCATATACCGATCAAACTGGTTCTCCATCGCGAGAACAGGACTCCCGTGGAGGCGTCGACTGCTTCTCCATCGCTAGAATAGAGGTGCGTTTGATTCCCTCGACGAGGGTGGCACGCAAGGCCGAGTAGAGTCAGGCTGAGGTTGGCATGGCTGAGATGGTGCAAGTGCATTTGTTTGATTGCCTGGACTCCAGAAGAGCCAGGTTCTCTTGAGATACTGTTTGGTAGGCCGCACAAACAGCTGTGGTGACCTTGCATTTGGAAGGTGGTGATGTTACCACCCACCTTTCTCTCAGTGGAATTCCATCGAACACTCTGTGGGCGCCGCGGAGTCCGACCCCTTCTCCGGCGCCAGCGTGCAGCTCCGTCGTCATGGCCACGTCCTACGGCCTGCACGGCATCGTGCGCCCACGCCAGCGGCGGCCTGCGCGGCGCCCGTGTTCGCAGCATGTCGCAGCGCTGAGGAGGGCGGCGCACTGGCACTGCACCACCGCATTCCGGAGAGAGACACGAAGAGCAAAGGCAGCAGCCGCCGCCCGACGCCGCGACGATGTGGAGCTCCGACTCCGATCGCGACGAGCACGTGACATGGCGATCACCACCTCGTCGCTCGCGCAGCAGCCATCGACGCCGCTCGCGCCGCCTCGGTGCTCGCGCCAGTGTGCTCGACGCCGCTTCCAGCGCCTCCGTGCCAAGAACAGCAGCACAAGATAGGAGGAGGAGGCCGAGGCGGAGGACGTCTGGCGTGGGCTGCAGCAGCAGTGGGCACGGGAGGCGTGGCCACGGCGGGCGTCGAGGCCCGTGGTAGTCACCGGCGAGGAGAAGCCCTCGGACGCCGCTTCCGCCGCGTCAGGGGAGAGCGGCGGCGGGATGGGAAGGGCGCGGAGCGTGACCGACGACGACCTGGAGGAGCTCAAGGGCTACGTGGATCTGAGCTCAAGGGCTGCGGAGGTGGTTCGTGAGC